GGATTATTTGTTTCAGATTGATTGTGTGAATCCGATAAATCCATCGGCTCTCAATTTATTTCTGAAATATTAATTCAATTTAATTGAATGTATATTAGATAGTAGTTCAACATCTTAACACTCGACCGAAAAGGCGCTTTGTATTTAAAGTCTTAATATTCATATAGACGGTCTTGTTTCCAATCATATTGTTTCAAATTAATTATAATTAAAAATATTTAAACAAGATAAGAATGTACATACTGATTAATACATTGGGCAGTAGTAATAATGTAATGTTCGCTTATAATGGCTCCACCGCAAAAATGAGATAAAGAATCTAATGTCAAATTTCTCAATGACACCTGATAAGGATATGCGCCATCCAAAGCGTCATTGCCACCTACGATTTGCGGATGTGGCAAACCTATCGATTAAAAGAATTTTTACATTTGTTTTCGCTAAAGATATCAGTTTGAGACTGACTGTTACATAAGTCATTTATCTTCGTCTTATATTTAAAAGAATTAATAACATTAAACACAAAATGCGAATAGAGAATTTTTCTAAAATTTTTAATATCTTGGATTTGCATTACTAGAAGTACTAAATTTATTAAATAATCACATTACGAGTTATAGACTGTTAGAAAGAAGAATTTAGAATTCTAGAAAGTAAAGTTTGATATGAAAATTTTTTGAGACTTATTTGGAACGCATACTACGCTCGATAAAAAGATTATATAATGAGTATAATGTTATTATGATAAATATTACTTACCACAGGTGGTGAGCGCCAGATACGCGATTATAAAACCAGCGACAGCATTCATGGCGATAAGCACTATGGTACGTTGAACATATTATCTTCAATTTATATCCTATATCGTAGATAGAAATCATCACTTGGTACTTTAATTTATCTAAGTGTATCGATAGGAAATATGCACAAGTTAATGTACGTTGTGTTATTTACAACATTTATATCTATTGTATATACAAATTATATTAATAACAAACCCATTATTAATCAGGAATTTGTTTATATAATTTCATTGAATTTTATAATAATGTGTAGCATTACAGTTATAGTATAATTAATCATAAAAGCATTTATAAATTTTATATATCTTTATGTATTATAGTAGAAGAAGGTGTTTTTAATAAAAAAAAAAATGGACGATGTGTCCATTCTTAATATTAAAAAAATCTTGTAATTTATTGAGATTTATTGAGACTTTGATGTAATTTATTGTTAATAATAATCAATTTTGCAATTAACAAAATAGATATTATATTATTTTTTATGTTTTTTATATTTTTTAATAGATTCGTGTTCAGTAAGCAGAAATGCGGAAATGACTATTTGCATTTATGTTGTAAAAAAACATTAAATTATAAAAAGGCAAAAGATAAAAAAGTTTTAAATTAAAACTTATAACTTCACTTAAATTGCTTCAATGAATCGACTTCGGATTTTGTTATAAGTCTTCGAATATATATAAGAATAATCTTCGAAAAAATTTTTGTAATATTTGTAATATTTCAAAAATAAGTACTAATCATCCTTAATGATGCTTTATGAATTTTATATTATATTTATCTTCTTTAATAATATTAATGATCCGTATAATTTTAATCATCAAATCCACATTGTACCGTGCTCTGACTTTATATATAAGATTAACGCAGATATGATTACGAGATTAATAAATATTTGTGTGACATTATTTCTTTCTTTCTCTCTCTGATCAAAATGTTTGTTATTTTATAACATATTGTAAAAACAAACTTGAATGAAGAATATTTATAGACATTTTTTAAAATATTAAAATATTTCTTAATGTAATAATTTAATTTTATAAATAATGAAGTGATACAGTTATTACATTTTATTATTCAGATACTGATATACTGATATGCTTTAAACACTGATGTACTGGGCAAGCCAATTCGCAAAAGAGAATACTCTAGTATATACATCTGGAAATCCTCTAGCGCATGGTCGAACATACGAGGAAAGACCAATTTGAGTACCGTTGGCAACGAGTGGACTACCAGAATCACCCTAAAAAAGGTATTTGTTAGAAATGATACTGCAATGCTTGATGTCACAAGAGAATAATTGCTAATATATATTTTAAAAATATAGAATTTATATTGTAATAAAAATGTAAAGAACACATATGCACATATACTTATAGAATTTGCATGAAATAAGATAGTAAATTAATTAAGGTATAATATTATTGACTCATTGAATTTTTTCGAAGTTTGTGCAATTAATCATTTTTTAATAACTGCTTGTTTATAAAATTAAAATTATTTAATTAATATATTATGAGTTTAATTAAAATCAATTATCCATACTCACATGACATGCTCCTTGTCCAAATTGTGAAAATGCACAAATTTGACTGGACCTTATACTCCAGAATACACTTTTGCATTTTGATTGTGAGTAAACTTTCAGATTAACTTTTTGAAGCTTATTAGGAAGTTCACCTAAGTACTATAAAAATATTCAAAGAAATATAAGAAAAAATAGAGAGATATTATATATACTTTGATATAAAATCCTAAAAGACATTGGTATCGATTTTTTCATCGTAATTTACTTTTATGTTTAGCGATGTAATGATTTGATTAGTAGTAATACTTTATGTAATATCTATATTTTTTGTTCTACATATGTAAAGAAATCTGTCGATTATTTATTAAGATTTATTAGCTTGGTATTTCTTTTACCCATAGTGTTCCCCATCCTGTTAAAAAGCAAGCATCGCCAACCAAAACAGAATTCGTCTTTGCGATAGAGATTGGTTGCACCAATTTATTGTATTGTATATCTATTTTCAGACGGAGCAAACCAATGTCGTTGAATATTAAATAAGGATCATAATCAGGATGGACAATGGCTTCTTCAGGAATATAAATATAACCGGATTCACTTAAACGATTCGTGCCAGCATGAACTGTTACGTTTTTGAGACTTTTTGGATCGGTAAATCTGTATTACACAAAATTATAAATTATAAGAATTATATATTGTATTATATAAATAAGAAATTAATATTGGTTTGCAATTGCTTAAATTATGTTTAATTAGTTAACATTAATTATTAAAAAATAAGAAATGTAAATACGGCTGAAGAATGATGAATTTAAATATTTACATGTCTAAAAATTTTTCAAGGAAATCTGAAAAATCGAAAGAAATGCTAACAATAAAGCATTTATTAGTTAAATTAAATTTGTAGTGCTTTAGGATTTAGGACATAGGATATTTAAATCTTACTCCCATAGCAAAAATCATCATAGTTACCTCCATCATAATAATCATGGTTACGTTATGGTGATATGTGAGTCACAAATGTGATGTTACAGCAATGTGTCAGTAGTGTAGTGATGTGCGAATGTCTTTGTAACATGTGTCATTTTGTTATGACAATCTTACAGTGACATCATAATTTCTTCCGGACTATTTTGACTCTATTAATTGTGACGTAAATTGTGATGTAACCCTTTGCTATGGGGATATTTTGCATGCTGTGCAAAAGAAATACTCACTGGATAAGACAATGACCCGCGGTGAGAATATAACGTTTTGAGATAATGGATCCGCCACAAAAATGACTATTATTTTGTCTTAGAGACACTATATAAGGATAAGCTCCATCTAAAGCATTAGTCCCACCGACAATGTAGGAATCTTCAGCTAAATAGATTTTTAACATTTTTAACGTATAATTTTTGCGATAAACTTTCATTTAAATGTTTTTCTTATGATTACATTTATATTATATATTTATGCCAAAGATTTTGCAAGTTATAATAATACAATAATAGTTTTTAATAATTTTTTAAACATAAGATTAAATAGAAAATGTGGCGTTTTTGGAAATAGTTATATTACAACAAAGATTCAGTTACTTCAATAATAATATCTAATTTTTAATAAAATAATAAAAAATATGAATTATTGTAATTAATTACTTATAAAAGAAAATTCTAATCAATTATTCTCCATTTCTGTAAAATATTATAGAAGTCACAAAAATGCATTATAATAAAGAAGCAAATTCAAAGACGTATAAAACTATAAATTAAACACATTTATATAATTGAAATAATTAAGAAATTCTATTATACAATATTTGCATTGTTATACAGAAAAAATAATATAGAAAATTAGATATTATTTGCTATAGTTGACTCTTCATATGATTAATTGTATAAGTATATAAAATGTATTTTTTTTTACACAATCTTTAGAAATATCAATTTAATTTTAATTTCAGTGAAATAATATATTTAAATGTTGAATTAAAATCCATTAAATATATGTTGTATTGTATACTTACAATTAGTGTTATCTATACTGTTGTATTATTGCAGAATTTAATAGCAAATGGCATAAATATACGTACATAGAAAATATATTTAAAAATATATGAAATCAATATAAATGTAGTAAAATAAATTTTTTATTTTTAAGGTATTTTTACGGAAACATTTACATCAATTACGTTATGATTTAAATCACTATAAGTAAAATCAGAGATTATGTCTAAATTTTTATATAAATTCACAAAGAATAAACTGGTTTTATTGATTATATTTTAACTGATTATATTTTTTTTTAAATGTTTTATTTTGTATTTGTTATCACTTA